GGACACGCAGGGGCGTGGTTCCCATACATGATGTTGTACCGAGTGAATTGACTGAAAGGGAACACCTTTCTTCCCCATACTGATGCTCGGTTTGAACTGCAGGAGATTGTCTTGACCATGTCTACATGCCTAAATGCACTGAGTTGCCGCCATGTGATTGGCTGATTAGAAATTAAGTGTTAACGAGCAGTTGGACAGGTGTACCTAATAAAGTGGCCGGTGAGTGTATATATATACATATAAACAGCCTCTTGTTTTATTAGCTATTAGCCTAACCTGGCAAAACCTTTGTTTTTTTTCTCCACAGCCTATATGGTTAATGTCATGGCTGAAAAGGTACTTACTTAATATTTAGGTTTAAAATTAACAAAGTGTCCTTTCAAATGAGAAGCTTAAACTCTCTTTTTTTCTCTTTGGTCACCTAGCTACTTCTGAAATATTGCATTCAGTTTAAAAAATAATAAAAAACAGAGGCCTTTCTACTTTGACTATAAAATATGTCCTTCATAGCCTTCTTTTTATCCATACGGTTGGCTGCAAGTTAAAGTTGAACTTAAATAGGCTGCTGTCTTGGATCTTAGCCAGAGTCATGGTAAAGTAAAACTCACTTGACTGTAGACAGTGAGGCTATTGTTCTAATACTGACACAAATTTTTTTCCATTATAATTTTGTTTTCCTCAAATCTTTGCTAGTATCATTGGATTTACATATGTATTTATACATATATAGTATTTTTAAGGCAGCAACAAAATCTTTTAAGTCTGAACCAGGCCTAACTTGCCTGTGTACTCGAAGAAGCAGAAAAATGCAGAGCAGGGGAGCAAAAATACTTTATTTCTTACTTAGTGATTTGAGTTGACAGAAAAAGCAGTTGCAGACAATCCACTGAACCCTGGATCCAAACATAGCTAACTTAAGAAAGACTTGAACAAGACTGACACAACAAACCAAAAGTGGGAAATCAGCTACCACAGTTGTAAACTGAAAGCAGACAAGAATACACAGAAGAACATAAAAAAACTAATTTAAAAATAAAACAGGAAAGCTAACTTAATGGTTACAAAAAACAAAGATTGTGATTCATGGAAAAGAACCAGTAAACCATGATGGAACAAACAAATTCCATAGACCATAACAAGCACCGACTCTGGATGCACTTATTCATAAAAAAAAACATACAAAGATT